TCCAAGGCTTGTTGTAAATAACTCAATAAGCTTTGCTTTCTATATTTTGGTGATATTAATGTGAAGAAAATGCACCTTATCTATTGGTCTAAAACTTGCAAGCCTAAAATCAAAGGGGGTTTGGGGTTGCCAACTTTTGATGCTCTCAGATTTGCCTTCGATTGCTCGCTGATTAGAAGAATTTATAATTCCTCCTCTTTGCTCTCGTCTTGGTTATGTAATAGATATTATTCTCCGTGGAAGCCCATTTCTAGAATTGCCTCACCCATATGGAAGAGTATAAATAAAACGACCCTCAAAGCAAAAGATAACTTCAGCTTCTCTATTGGTGCTAATAACCCCATCTCTCTCTATTGGGATCACTGGTGTAATGTGCAAGCTCTATCTAATATGCCAATTTATAATACTATCATTGATCTATTTCCTAATGATGCTAGGCTTAATGTGTTTATAAGTCCAACTGGTTGGTCTCTGCCCTTGTCACTCAACGGGTCCTTATGTTGCACCATTCAGGCCAACCCACTCTTTGGAGGGAAACTCTTGCTGTCTGAAGTGGCATTCGAGCAATGGAATTGCATCTTTTCATTCTTATATTGCTAAATTTTTTTAAGGAGGATTGTGATGTTACTTGACATGCTGCGGTTTGGCATAAGAATTATTCCCTTAGATATTCAATTTTTGATTGGCTTACTATGGCGGGTGGTCTTAAAACAGCTAATACTTTGATTTTAAGGAACATTTTTGTTGAATCGGTGTGTGTTTTATGCAACCAAAAACAAGAAACGGTGGCCCATCTCTTCTTTGAATGTGACTTTTCCTAATGTGACTTTTCCTTTTATGTGATTTATGGCATTATTCACAGCTTCATGTGTTTCTTTTTTGTCCAAATCTGTTTCAAATTGCTGATTTTCTTCTTGAAGGGCATTCGGGTAATCGAGTTAAGCTTTCTCTCTTAATTTTGTGGTGTTCTTTCTATTATATTTGGCGAGAGCGGAATGAAAGGAGGTTTGCTTCTATTGATAAAAGTGCTTTTATCGTAAGAGAATTTATTAGAAAAGAGGTTTTGTTTAAGATATCAAGGTGGAAGAATGGAGAAAAATTTTAAAGTATTATATTGGCTGGGCTTTAGCTGCTACTATTCTGTTCGGCCGCTCATTTTGGGTGGCGTCCCTGTGTTTTGTTAGAATTCTTTGTAGATGCTGGTGAGCCTTTCTATAGGCTATATTTTTGCTTTACTTCTTGTTCAATGTGGAGTTTTTGCATTTCTCTTCCAAGGCTTCTCGGATGATTTTGCTACACTTGATCAAGGTTTTTTGGCTATGGTTTGGTATTTTGGGGCGAGGATGAGTGGATTGCTTCCCTTTCCCTTGGATGGCGACTCATAGCAACTAGGCTCCCCTTGGATGGCTTTTTTCACAACTGGGGATTACTCAAGTTCTGGATGGATGCAATCCACATACTAAGCCTTCTTTTCGGTGCTCCCACCTTTAGTTCTTTGATTCTGTTACTTTAATGTTGCTTGTGTATAATTTATACACCTTCTTGTTCCTTACTTCTTCTTATTCCTCCTTTACATGTAATTATTTTTTATTAATGAAATTGGGCTAGGCCTTTAATTTTCAAAAAAAAAAAGTAATTTTTATAAAGGTGTTTGTAAAACTATTATGAAAAAAATAACTTTCAAAAGCTACTGCAAAAAGCAGTTTTCTAACACAAAAATTTTTGAAAGTTGAACAAAAATTAATGAGCAAATATAATAATCTTAAAAGCAAAACAATAACAAAATTGTGTCAAACCAAACCTAAAACTTTCAAGCTTCATTTGGGACGGCTTTCTTATTGCTTCTTAAAATAATTTTTTGATATAAAAATTTTAATTTTAGTATTAGAAAATTACTTTTAGAAGCAGTAAAAAAGCCGTCCCAAACGAAACCTCAAATGTACATAAAGTACTTTCCTCCTACTTAAAAAAATTGACTTGCAAGGAGTATGAAAACAAATTACGAAGGAAGACAAAACTATCCGCAATAATAAATTAAAAGATTCATGATCTAATATTTTCCAAATCTAACAGCCCATCGCCACGAAAAACCCAAGCGATTATAAGTCAACAAAATCAGTTTAGCTTCTCGCAATGTCTACATATGGAATTCGCTTGTAATAGCCTGAAAATGTAGATCATTAGTTTCCCCCAATTGTCTCTTTCTGCCTCCATTTAGAAGCTAAATAATGACAAACTTAGTTAACTAAACTTCGACATAATGGTTGAATTCTTCCTGCAAATTGCATAGCTTAGTCATCCGAGCTATTTGATCTAATGACAGAAGGGAGGGCTTGGTCCTGAAGCTCCCTTGAGTCCAAGTGGAGGCCAAAATAGAACTGCTTGGCCTGCGAGATAACATTATTCAAGTTGATCAAACCACCAAAAGTGTTTGAATTCGGTCCAGTTAGTCGTTCCTGATAAACCAGGTTGTAGCTCATCAAATTCAAAGTTGTTTAAACCCTTAGGTAGCCGAGAGCCTAATCTCATTTATGAAGAAGTTCAAGACTAGGCAACGAACTTCATCCTGCAAAATGGATTAGTAAAAAGGCAATAGAAAATCAAGACAGATGAGATCATTGTAGTGTAAAACTTTTATTCTTCCTTAACACTCAATGCTACAGTGCTGGTATTCATATAAGGAAGATGACAGAGTTCGTTGAGCAGCAACGGTTGAGATCAAACTAGATCCAGACCGTGAACGGGCGGGATTAACTTAGCACTGTAAAAGCTGGGAAAGCTGCGGTAGCCGTTTGCGTTAGTGGAGAGGCACGATGATGTATCAAACGCACTTATCAGTTATCACTTCCCCGCGAGTTAACAGTTCTCCTGTAATGTTAACTTGGTACTGAGAGATTGAAATCGAGTAGCTGAAAGAGGCTTAGTGAAGATATCCGCAATTTGATCCATCGAAGAAACATGATGCACACTGATATTTTTAAGATGAATACAGTCACGGATGTAATGGAAATCCACCTCTATATGTTTCTTGCGGGCATGAAACACAGGGTTATTGGCTAATGCTATAGCCGAAACGTTATCACAAAACAGAGGTGTAGAGGTAGTGACTGGAACCTGAAATTCCGTAAGCAGACGACGAAGCCAGATGATATCACTGGCTGCAGTAGCTAAGGCTCTGTATTCGGCTTCAGTGGAGGATCTAGCCACCGTAGTTTGCTTTTTGACACACCATGAAACAAGATTGTTTCCGAGGTGGTAGAGGCGTTAAAACGGGTTTGCAGTCTTTCATACCTGCCTTATTTAGAAGCGTTTGAGCATAGAGAGCTTGGGATAGATGCAGTCCGTTGGAAGTGTGCTTAACCTGAAGGCCCAAAAAATTGGAGACAGAGCCAAGATTTCTCATGTGAAATCTGGAATTTAAGGCAGATAGCAGATAATCAATTGTAGATGGATGATTGCCCGTGAGTAAAATGTCGTCTACATACACAAGAATGTAGATTTGAATGGCTCCTTTGGAGTACCGGAGGATAGATGGATCAGCTGCACTTACAAGAAATCTAAATTCTGTAAGAAAGTTGGTAAAGGTAGAAAACCATTGACGAGGTGCTTGTTTAAGGCCATAGAGTGCCTTTTTGAGTAAGCAGACGTGATTCGGATAATTGGAGTCGATGAAGCCTTGAGGTTGCTTCATGTAAACGGTCTCCTCTAGTTGCCCATGCAAGAACGCATTCGAAATGTCAAGTTGCAGTATAGACCATTGTCTAGAGATAGCAACAGTGAATAAAATGTGAATGGTAGGGAATTTAGCAACCGGACTGAACGTATCAAAATAATCGAGGCCAAATTCTTGATTAAAACCTTTGGCAACTAGGCGAGCTTTGTGCCGAGCTAAAGTCCCATCTGCATTGTACTTTGTTCGGAAGAGCCATTTGTTTCCAAGTACATTAAAATTAGGAGATGGGGGAACAAGGACCCAGGTTCCTTGTTGTTGGAGTGCCTCAAATTCCATTGACATAGCCTTCCTCCAAACCGAGTGTTTGTGAGCCTCAGAATAGGATGTGGGATTCGAAGGAATGATGGAGTGTTGTAGATCAAAGATTTTCTTGGGTTGAAGGAGCCCAGAGCGAAGACGAGTGATCATTGGATGCTTAGTGGGAGGATGAGTTGGCTGAGTATTTGTAGAGTTGGATGAGCTGGAATGAGACTTGTGGGTTCTAGATGTTGAGTCCGTTGATGTGGGTGGAACCGGTCGATGAGGAGAGTTAAAGGTGTGATCAGACAGTGCAGTAGAGGGATAAGGAGTTGTATGTGTGGCTGGAACGAGTAGGGAGGAAGGGATATCAGAGTACTTAGGAGGAGAATTGGAAGACAATGTATAAGGTACAGTTTGAGATGGAAAGATGGATTCAAAAAATTTGACATGTCGAGAGAGATACATCCGACCATTGGAGATACAAAAACATTTGTATCCTTTGGTATGATCAGAGTAACCAAGAAACAAACAAGGAATGGAGCGTGGCTGAAATTTGTGCTGGAGCTGAGTAGGTATCCACGGATAGCATAAACATCCGAATACCTTGAGGTGTGCATAATCAGGAGGAGAGTTATGCAATAGTTTGAAGGGCGACTTATTCCTGGAATTTTTAGAGGGGAGCCAATTGATGGTGTGAACAGCAGTAAGAAGAGCTTCAAACCAGAAATGAGTGGGTAAATTGGCATGAAAAAGGAGTGAACGAACGGTTTCAATGAGATGCCTGTGCTTGCGTTCAGCAACACCGTTTTGCTGCGGAGTATAAGGGCATGTCAGTTGATGAACAATGCCAGCCCGGGAAAGATAGGCATTGAAAATTTTATTAACAAATTCACCTCCTCCATCGGTTCGAAGAGTCTTAATGTGTTTATTAAATTGATTTTCAACAGTGGATTTGAAGTGAAGAAATTGAGTAAATGCTTCAGACTTGAGTTGTAAAGGATACACCCAGGAGTAATGCGTAAAGTCATCAACAAAAAGAAGATAGTATTTATAACCATTGTTTGATACTATTGGGGAAGGACCCCATACATCACAGTGGATTAGTTCTAATACATTCTTGGTTTTGGAAGCAGATAAAGAAAAAGGTAGACGATGAGACTTTGCTCGCAAACAGGCAGAGCAGTGAAAACTAGATACAAGTCTCTTAGTGGGAAAATAAGCCGAAAGCAGTTGAAGAGTAGATGGAGACGGATGCCCAAGTCGTTGATGAAGCAAAACTGGATCGATCATTTTGGTGTGAAGAGCTGTCGAATGAGTTGTAGAAGAGTATGAAGCAGCAGGTCGAAGCTCAATGGGGTAGAGACCTTGACGACATGGACCTTGGAGAAGAATCTGATTGGTCCGGGCATCCTTGATAAAGAAGCCATTAGCATGGAAGACGATGAAACAAGAGTTTTCATTAGTTAGCTTATTAACAGAGAGTAGATTATGTGATAGATGCGGGACATGAAGAATTTGAGAAAGCTGAAGCTTACGAGACGGAGTGGGAAGAAGACCTTGTCCGGAATTAGCAATAGGCAGCAGCTGACCATTTCCAACCTGAATTTGCGATGAGCCAGTATAGGTTTGAGGGGTTTGTAGATGCTGTAGATTGGATGTTAGATGCGATGTAGCTCCAGTGTCGAGGAACCAGTCATCGGAGCTGGGGGCATCTGCAGACAGAAAGGCTTGTTGAACTGGTTGGTAATTGAGGTCAGTGCGATACCAACACTGAAAGGCTGAATGGCCGACCCTGTTACAAATTTGACATTGAACAGAGGAACGAGGACGACGTCCCCCACGGGTGGCTGGAGACGGAGATCGACCACCACGATTCTGGTTATAAGAGAAGCGTCCCCTGCCTCTAGAACGACCACGAACAGCTTGTAGAGCAAAGTTGGTATCAGTAGTGGTTTGAGTAGGCATTTCAATAGCTAAGTTAGATTGCATATTGAGCTCTTCAGTGCACAATAAAGAGTAGAAATCATCTACACCGATTGGTTGGAGTTGAGATCTAATGGTGGTTTTAAATGCATTGTATGCTGGTGGTAATCCTTTTAGAGTATACAGAATAATGTCTGCAGAGTCGATGGTAGAGCCAGCTGCAGTAATCGCATCGACTTTCTATTTAATGTCAGAGAGATATTGAACCATAGTTTTGTCTCCCTTTTGTACATTATGTAACCCACTCTTCAGTTGAAGTTGTTTGGAAGGATTGGTGGATTGAAGTCGCCGCTGAATGGTAGTCCAGATGGCATGACAGGACTCAAGGTTGAGAACATAGGGAAGAAGCGACGGAGAAATGGTAGCATACAAAGCTGATGCTAAATTCTGATCTATGAGTTTCCATGACTGATAGAGAGGATTAGTGCTTATCGTTCCGTCTGATGCGAGAACTTGACGCATTGGCATGGCGGAAGACCCATCCAGGTAGCCTTCAAATCCATTAGCAGAGAAGAGAGTTAGGATTTGAGCTTTCCAAATAGGATAGTTGTCAGCATTAAGCTGTGTACTGAGCACGGTTTTGACATTGGTCATGAGAAACTTGAGTTGGGGAGGGATGGAAATTTCGGTCTTCGGAGCCGATTGTGAGGAGGGCGGAGTGACAGATGATGCTGGAGAGTCCATTGATACCAGGTTGCTCTGATACCATGAAGAAGTTCAAGACTAGGCAACGAACTTCATCCTGCAAAATGGATTAGTAAAAAGGCAATAGAAAATCAAGACAGATGAGATCATTGTAGTGTAAAACTTTTATTCTTCCTTAACACTCAATGCTACAGTGCTGGTATTCATATAAGGAAGATGACAGAGTTCGTTGAGCAGCAACGGTTGAGATCAAACTAGATCCAGACCGTGAACGGGCGGGATTAACTTAGCACTGTAAAAGCTGGGAAAGCTGCGGTAGCCGTTTGCGTTAGTGGAGAGGCACGATGATGTATCAAACGCACTTATCAGTTATCAATTTAGTCATATGGGAGAATTCTCTTACTCAATCTTAATAATAGAAATCACCCAATGATTAACAAGATAGTTTGTGTCACACCTCAAGTCAGGCCTGGAATGTGATACACCTTGACAACACAAGAAGCGATGAAGGGATATAAATATATGTTTTATACACACAAAAGAGAAAAGTGTCTAAACCAAAAAATATAGCTAATTATATAAAAGTAAATAATGGAAAGGAAACTAATTATTCATTTTAGTAGTAGGAATTCAAATAACAATATACCAAAATATTAGTACTATTATTACAAGTTAAAGAAATGCAACTAGAATAAATAATAGGAAAGAAACTATCCAACCGGCAAAGCAAATATATAATAGCTTACTACGAAATATAAAATACCACGTATAGCCTACCGTTGATAAATATGCTATTGAAGCGACGGTTCGCTAAAAATGCTAGCAAGATCTATCATAAGAAGAGACAATATGCTTTAAATCAAACTCAGCAAGTAACTCATATCTATCAAAGCATAAACGACAAATGAATGAGACATGTAGTATGAATAACCAAAAATGGAGAAAAATAATAACCTATAGTCACTATATCAAAGTAGCAATGACACATGTCATACTCATACAACATATTCTAGCATGTTGGTGTCTATGTGAAATAATTGTTAATGCCAAATCAATACAAAGCTTAAAAATGCAACCACACTAAATATCATTGTACCACAAAATGTCTGACTTATCAGGCGCCATTCATATCATTCAGTCAAATTTAATTATATATATATTTTTTCTTTCAAGTACCCACCATCAAGAAGGTAAATACTAGACTAGGAATTCGAAACCGAACTTGACCTGGTTCAGATTTGCGAGATATAGAGGGTTGATGCATGACTAGGGGTTTTTGTGCTAGAAATGGCTAGTTTGGCTTGGTCACATGCATAGGTTTGGCTTATCAACTTCGCTTCTATCTCAAATTTTATTAAAACAATGTTCAAAACCTAACTCAAACCTTTACTAATTTGAACTCTTTATTTGAAAAAGAAATTTGAATTATATTCTAAATTTATTTTATATGATTCAGCATATGGTTAAACATATTTTTCAAAGATTATAGCCAAATCTTAAGCTAAAATAAAAATGTTCAAACTACATTCGAATAATATTTGAACATATTACATGGGATTCAGATCTTATTTGAAACAAAAAGTTTATGTTTGAATACAGCTCAAGATAGCCTCGAACAAGATTTGAACCCCCGCAATTAGTGTTTGAACTTAATTCAAACTTTTTGTCCAAACTTCAAATTAAGGCCTCGTTTGGGACGGCTTTCTTCCCGCTTCGTAAAGTGGCTTCCTAGTACAAATTAAGTTTTTTTACTAAAAAGTCGCTTTAAGAAGCAATAAGAAAGCCGTCCCAAACGAAGCTTAAGTGTTTAACATTTTCAAACTTCTAGGTTCATTTTGAAACTAGAGTTTTGAATACTTTTAAAGCTCTTATTCAATCGTAGCTTTTGAGCATCTCCTTCCTATTAAAAGTAATTAGGTGTGCTGCTAGTGTTGGAAGAGATGGTGATGGATGCGATCTAATCTAAATAAAAATAATATTAATTAGGCAAACATTTCATTAGAGGATGGAATCGATCACTCATAAAGATTGCTAAATGCTTCAAATTAAAATTACCATACCGAGAAGAGTGACAGTCCATTCGATTGAGTTTTGAGATATTTGAGATGATGGCCTCATTTGAGACGGATTAATTCCACCTTTTCTGTTTCAAAACAACACAATGGGACGCTTCTGTAGAAATGTTTTTTTTAAGGAACGTCATTTTACTACTGTTTTGAGAAGCTTTTTGATATTTGCTTCTCTAATAGAAATCTCTGTTTCTTCAACCAACATTTTTAAAAATACCTTTTACATAAGGTACCCAACTACCAAACTAAGCCAAAGTTTGGAAGAAGGAAGTTTGAACTATAGTCTTTTTCGAATGTTCTCTTAATATGAGAGAATATCCCACATCTTTTTAATATAAAGATATTTTCATTTGAAATTGACTTTTTAGCATATCTATGAAAATATATATATATATATGAAATGTTAGAGGTGTACATTTTACTCATGTGAAGTTGAATTGAAATAAAAATTTATTATTAATGATTAAATGTTGAGGGGACACATTTTGCTATATAGAGTCATTTTTCTTGAAGTTCTATTGACTTTTAAATGAAGGATTAAATTCAGCATTAAAAGAATGACAAGTCATCTATTTAAATATAATAATAATAATTTGTTGCATTATATTTTCTTCTTTCATTGAAGTCAGAAAAAAAATTTATAAATGTTCAATAAAATTATAAACATAGAAAAATTTAATTTATGTGCCTCATTAGGTTCAAAATTGGGCAAATATTTTGTTTGCTTTATTAGGAAAGCATGCCCAAAAATTCATTTTAGACCAAAGTACTTCCACTACTCTCAAGCAAGTAGCCACGGTATCTTTCGATTAAGAAACTTTTTGACTCTTTCTTTTCCCAGTTACGTCTTCCACGACCAGTATTCACATGTGATCAATTCATAGTAAAGTTCCAAGATAAAGCTTTCATTTCTATCTTAAACTAACAGTTTAAGGTTAGTGATGCAATATATTTGGCTAGTTATATTTGAAATGTTGTTTGTACTTTTGACTATAAACCTAAAACAATATAAACATCACATCACCTATTTTGAATGTTCATCAATCTTGCTCAAATCTTGATTGAATCTTATTTGAACCATATATTACCCTATTTGAATACAGTCCAAACAATATTTGATCATGATTCATATGAGGTTTGATCAAAGTTTGAATTAGATTAAAATATAATTCAAGAAAAGAATCTAAATACGGTTAGAGTAATGTTCGATTTTTATTTTAAAGAATATTTGAATATTATTTGAGCATTATTCAAACATGGTTTTAATTGCATTGTTTTGCCCACTCTTTTGGAATTTACTCATTTCAATTATTATACTATGTATGTAAATGCTTGTTCAAATCATGCATATAGAAAGGCTTTATAATGCTTGGCTCACTTATAGAGTTCGGGTATGAATGAGAAAATTATTATGGAATTTGTGGTTAATGACCTCATTTTATTCAACGTTAGAGTCAATATCACAATACTTCAAATTATTGAATTATGCAATGATCAATATTTGACAATTGTGCCGCTAAAAATTAATGTAAATATGAGCTTTTTTATAACAATTTAGTCATTCTGAGCATATAAACTAATTATCATGTCATTATCATGTATTGTTTTATGATAATAGTTTAAATCCTAATGATCTTCAAGATCTTGCACATTCACTTATACATGTGCATGTTTTTCCTTTCAAAAATATTAGTTGTGCAATATCTTCTTAGAGTTACACCTGATCTTACATAATTTAATGTTACAATCTGGGAGCTCGATCTTTTTTTTTTAAAGGAAAATCCACAGAGGGCTTACGCATTAATTAAAAACGAGGATTACAAACTCCTAAGAGGAGACCTTCATCTCACTATGCTCCAAAGAACTACAAAAAATTACCAAAAAAATCCTAAGTGCGGATGGTCCCCTAAACTAGAGAATACAAAAACACAGTAACATTCTAGGCTGTAAGAGGACAGCACTCAAAAAAGAAAGACAAACAAAGAGACAATAAGCACAATCTTTCTCCAAAATTTAAAGCATTGAATCCACCATCTAAACTTGCCCTTGAACCTGCAAAACCAAGCAAGAATAAAACAGAAGCAACCAAAGCAAGTAACGGATGTAATATAAAGGATTAATAAAAAATAAAATAAATTGCATAAAAAATTTAACAAAAAGGATATAGAGATGCTCCCATTAACAGAAGTGTTCACAGTGTTAAAATACCAAAGAAAAATGGTAATTAAAGCGCCATTTAACCCCGAATAATCAAAGTTACGAGCCACCCAATCAAAAAGGGTGGAAACGACAAGGCAATAAAAACAACGACATAGCACTTATAGAAGGAAGGCACAACATAAGGAGAACTCCAGCTAGCAGCACCAAAAACCAAACCAAAATGATCTAGATAACGGGAGATGAGGCCAGCAATGGAATGCGGATTAATAGAGCTCAGGAAGAAACACCTACCGTAGCTTTCATGAATAAAACCGCAATGCCGCTCCATTCTAATCCCATAACTATAAGAATATAAGAAGGTGCAGTATAAATGAGTAAAGGAAATCATAAGTAGCCAATAAGCCATCATAATTGAGTAGGCATCAGACAAACACTTCCAGAACTCAGAAATCAACCGACAAGTAAAGGTAGAAATGAGGCAGCAATTGCAACCAACCAGATAGGGATCCACACGAAGGGGGTACCCCAATCTCTGTCTAACAGCTGGTCCCTTAGAAACAAACCAGCAGTAACAACCAGTTCAGCACAAACATGAGAATCACAGAAAATACCGCAGCTGGAACAAAAAAACCAGCACACCGTCAAGAGAAACCAACAAAGCCCATCCGACAAAGTGCTCCCAGGAATAGAAGAGCAAAAATAGGGGTATAATTGAGGTAAAATGAAGTCCCAATCATTACTCAAATCCCAAACCATAAAGCACAGCAATAGAAACAGAAAAATGACAGGAGCCTCAAAACCAACAAATAACACATCAGACAAGAGAAGAAAATTAAAGTCTAACATATGGTAAACCCATTTAATAACAGTAAAATCCATAATAGCATCCAAATTACACCTCAAGTTTGTAAGAAAATCAGCACACGGATTACCTTCCCTGAAGGCATGAGTGATAGTAAAGTTAACTGAACTTAAAAGATGATTAATATTATAGATAATATAGAAAAGATCTGAATTATAAATACTTTCAGTATGCTTCATGAGGCAATGGATACTAGATATAGCATCCACCTATATCCAAATATTAGAAATATCCATAGAAATACAAGATTTAAGACCATTAAGAATAGCAGTGAGTTCAG